ACCAGGCAATAAGTCAATTGCAAATTCAATTTCCCTCTGGAGGAAAGTGCGGAATTTCATCCGGAAAGACATCCTCAAATTCAGAGACAATCGGAATAACAGAAATTGGCTCCTTGTTGACGCCAACCAGACCTCCCAATAAAACATACCCGGAATCTCCTTCCTTCAAGGCCTTTACCACCCGAAGTACAGACAAATAAGGAGACTCCCTTTCTTCATCATGAGATGAGACAGAAATGGTTTTACTGCAGCAGTCAATCTTCACACAGTACTTGGACAACCAATCCATCCCCAGAATTAAATTCACAGAAGCAAGGTGCAAGACAATAAAGTCGGCAGAATATTCCCTGCCTTCATACTTGAATTTCACATTTTCACAAACATAGTCTTCATTAAAAACTCTTCCCACAGCCGTAACAATACGCATAGGAGTTTTCATTTTTATCACATGCAGACCAAATGCTTCAGCTACATAATCAGCAATAAAAGAATGCGTGGCACCAGAATCAAACAAAACACTAAGCATTTCATCACGAATAGAAATCATACCTCGCACCAAACTAGCTGACCTCTCAGCCTCTTGCTGAGTCACTGCATATACTCGGGCAACTGGAGGTGGGAGAGGTAGAGATGGTTCCTCAACCACAATAGGAGCCGGAGTGGCCTGAATAGTAGAAACCTGTCCCCCATTAAAGGGGCAGTCCCTAATAAAATGCCCAGGTTGGCCACATTTGTAACACAGTCTTTGCTCTTTTCTGCAAACCCCTGCATGAACTTTACCACATGTAGCACATAGAGAAGCAGGCTTAATATTTCCAGGCTTAGAATTTCCCGCCTTTTTGAACTTACCATCAGACTGTCTAACCTGCAACCCTTTTCCTTTAGAATTCCCAGAGGTGTTTTTAGGACCAGAATTAGGAGCAGATTGGTCCTTATGCTTCCTTCTGTAATATTCTTGAATATTTTTACACTTTTTAACAAGTGCAGCAAAAGTATCAAATGAGTCACCTGCAAGTTTTTCAGAGATGTTATCATGTAATCCTCTATGAAATTTAAAAATCAAGTCATCTTCTGTAGGTGGAGCTCTCTGGAAATGAGAGTATTTGGCCAGCTTATTGAACTTATTCAAGTATTCATCAATAGACATCTGACCCTGCTTTAGTTCTTCAAATTCACCCTTCTTCCTTATCCGGGCTTCAGCCGGAAAGTATTTCAGCAAGAATTGCCTTTCAAATAAAGGCCAGGTAATAGCATAACCCTGACATTCCAAGGGCAGACGGGTATTTCTCCACCAATCAGCTGCATCATTCTGCAACATATAAGAAGCATACAACAATTTCTGCTGATCATCACACTCCATGACAGTAAAAATGCGATCCAATTCTTCTAACCACTGAATTGCAGCAATAGGATCAATGCCTCCTTTATAATTTGGTGGTGCATGTTTTCGGAAGGCATTTAGCATTCTTTCTCTTTGCTCTCTATTAGTGGCTGGCTGTGCCACACCACCCCTGTGACTAGATTCTTCATTCACATCATTATTTCCTTCACCCTCCACAACAATGGGATTATGAGGAGGAGGAACAGGCTGTTGTGGTTGTGGCTCAGGCTGTGGCTGTTGCAAAGGCTGTGGCTGTGGACCTTGCCCACCCGCCCTCACCTCAACCAAGAGTAATCTCATCATTTCAATATTCGCCATTCTGCTTGCTGCCATCATTTCTTGATTGGCCAACCTATTAGCCTCTAACAGATCTTGATTTGCTTTCATCATCACTTCTAGCTCTCGCTGCCTAGCTGCAGCCATATTTTGTTGCATCTCAGTTAAGGCCATTATCATTGGATCTGGCTGTGAAGTATTTCCCCGCTGGTTTAGTCGGGGTCTAGCCAAATCTGCTAATATTGGATCGGTCGGGTCAATAGGAGGATCAGAAGTCCTTCTTGGGCGAACCATAATTCTGCATATTTCACACAAAGGAATGAGTTAGCTACGCTCACACTCGGTGATCAGACATGCATATCATAGTATTCCAAGAAAACTCAAGAATATAACAACCCAACAACAGTTCATGCAATATTTCACAGGCTCTTCTAGAGAAACTGCTCTGATACCATAAATGTAACATCCCCGTCTCGAGCCGGTTCAATTAACATACATATGATAAAACAGAAAACAGCGGAAGACTTAACTTCTGAAAATACGAGCTAACTTTTTCTTTTTCTTTTTAAATTCTCATTCGTCGTAAACGAAAATCGGGCAGAGTTTCCTCTATAAATCGGACAACTGGGGATTTTCCAATCCCTCACAGAAGCATTTCCTGATAAACAGTTTATACAAATATAATCAAATGCCCATCCATGGGCGCATGCATAACTTGGCTCAGTGCCACTATATCTAACAGCATGCAATCCAACACGTAAACATATCTGAATACTACCTCATCATATAACGTGCCTGAATACCCAAATGTACATGCATCAAAGCGACAGACATGTACAAAACATATACAGGCCATATACACAATAAAGGATCAATATCATGATCCATCAAATGCGAAAATACTAAAATACATCAAACACTCCAAAAAGGTAGTAGCCTACAGCCACTCAAAATCCAATCTGTCAACTGCCTCAGCCACGTGTCGTGTCCCTGCCTAGTGAGGACTCACCGGGAATCTGGGCACCTGAAAATATGTCCCCAAAGAGGGGTGAGATTACAAATCTCAATAAGCTCCAGGTTTATAGAGAATTCTCCATACCCCTGGCTCACTCCTGCATGAAAGTCAGATACAGAGTATACAAATACAACATATAACAGATATCATAACAGAACAGAGCATATATCCATATCATATCAGAGATGTGCGCCGTCATTCCCAAGGGAGGACCCCAAGCGGAAATCAACGCACGTGTTCCCGAGGGAGGACCCCAAAGCGGAACCAGACATATCAGAGGCGTACACCATCAGTCCCGAGGGAGGACCCCAAAGCGGACATCCGGGTACTATACAATCAATGGCCAGAGATTGTTACAGAAATCATATTACAGAAGTCATATCAGAGCAAAACATATCATGTTATCAAATAACTCTATATGAATGCATCTATACAAAGCATCTAAATCACAGTCATACAGTCCAACCATAGTTCACTAACCATGGTGGAGCACTCAAGCAGGAAAAGACTCCTTAAACATAGAGCTTACCTCTTGAAGCTTTACCAATACGCTTACTTGTGGAACAAGTTACTTTTATCGCTTCAAGAGATTTCCGATCCTTCTCAATCCCTAGGCACACCTAGAGAATAATTTACAATGCATCAATAAAATGATGCAATACCATAATTATTTCATAAGCATACATTTTATCGCTTATTTTCCTTTCTTTGCATTTTTGCCAATCCTATGCCAATACACAAGTCTAGACCTCTTTATAACCGTTGGTGTTCTTTAATTTAATCAACCATTCCCTTAGGAATTTTCAACATAAATCATGCTATTTTTCTTCAAAACTCATCACCTTTATACAATTTATTACAACACATTTTATTTAAAATAAAATGTACAAAATATATCCCTAAATACCCTATAGGTCGAATCCTACAAGGCGAATTTCCAAAGATCCTTCTCTTTTACAATACATTTTCGTTACTTCATTACAACTTGCAAACACCTAGGAATGCTTCCACTAAATTCCTATTTTGAGTTTAGACACCAAGTCCTTTTTACTTAGGCATTCTTACTAACTCATCCATTTTCACTCATTTCCCACACACTATACCTTCACAATACATAATATAATTTTTTCCACAATAACTCCTACTCACTCCATGATGGCCGAAACCTAGGAGGAAGATGCAATAGGGCTTTTAAATTTTTATATCACATGTGGATGCTTACTCAACACTATAACTTCCTAAACAACAATAATCCCTCATAAATTTCACATTCTAACATCAATTATTTCCCAACAAAATATGCTCATCATTAACAAGACTCAAATCACCAAAAATATAACCATAGGGTTAGAGGTTTCTTACCTATAGTTGCCAACCCAAGCTCCAAGGAACAAAACCCAAGCTTTTCTCACTCAAAAACCCCACTTTTCCACAATGATGAATAGTGTCACGAATTGGGGGTGAGGAATATTTCTCTCTACAAGCAAAACCAGCCCAAACAAAGCGGTGGAATGGATTCCTTGGTTGATTTCCTATGGATTTCGTGTATGGACTTAAGGATTTGGTTGAGTGTGGAGGGAGAAATCAAAGGAGAAAGAAAACTTGAAAACCTAGCCTTCCATGGAGGAGAGACTCGGCCTTGAGGAGAGAGAGGGAAGGTGAGCTGATGTGAATAGTAACTTTTGGAAGGAAACTTAAGTTATAAGCACATGTGGCTTTCTCAATCGAATGTTTTTTTATCGCGTATTTTAACTTAACGGACCCGGAACTAACTTATATCTACGGAGATATTTTTATTTTTCTAAAATCCTTTACATTAATTTTAATTTGTTACTAAACAATATTCATAATTCACAGTATGGTTTTTGCACCGTTTTAACGAAATGCACTGTGAATCACTAACTGTACTTCGCTCACTTCTGAACTCAACTTATAAACTTATCATTTTCTTGGGCCTATATTGACTTGCTTGGCATATATTGGACTTTCTTATTCTTATTTCATCAATTATTTATTTCTGGACTCTACCGGTTGCTTAAACAGCAGTACAAAATACCCGGTAGAAACACTATTCACGAGATTTTCACGGAAAGTGCCAGACTATACAATTTTTCGTTCTGAACTCATATTTGTCGTCAGAATTATCAAATTATGTCTCTAAAATTATTTTGCTCTTTTTAAGCTCTACCGGTTAATTCACAAAACTGTAAATTCTCCGGCAGAACGCACTGTTCATAACATAGTCATGATTACAGTCAAAATACTCGGAATCACAGACTAAATCTAATTATGGCATTTAAATCCTTAAATTAAATCTCTAATTAAGATTTACCATTTAGGGTCATTATAAAATCCAAATGTCATACTCACAAAAAACCCATTCACATTATGACCATCATTCTTTTTGCCTTTGTGATCATCATCAGGAATTTGCCGATTGGAACTACAGTTGATGGGCAGTGGCGGACCACACAGATTGTTGTCAACAAAGTTAGATGCTTCAAAGCTTTGCAATTGAGTGCCTATTGGAATTTCCCCCCTCAAGTGATTATAAGACAAGTCAAGCTTGCTAAGAAAGCTTAAGTTTGACATGGTCGAAGGGATTTCTCCTGAAAGTCGATTCCTTGAGAAATCAATGGATTCTAATGATCTCATATTGCCAATGCTTTGTGGAATTTGGCCAGTCAACTGATTCTTGGACAAGTTCAAATAAATTAATCCATCTAGACTTGTAATTTCTCTGGGTATCCCTCCAGATAAATTATTATTAGAAAGATCAACATTTGTCACCATGCCAAGAAGATTCCTGTACTCTATACCTCTTCCTTTTGCCCATATGAGTGTAGTAACCACACTGCTTATTCCCATCGAGCTGCTTTCTCTATTGCTAAGAATGAATCCATCCATACTCCTGCTGTCTACATCGGTATGGATGAATGAATTCATACTCCTGTTCTTTAGCAACATGGCATTTAAGTGGTTGAAACATTTTGGTATATTTCCAGACAAATTATTTTGGGCAAGGTCCAAATCCTGAAGAAAAATCATATCACATATTTGATTTGGAATATGACCCAAAAATCTATTTGACCGAAGGCGAAGAATTTTCAAATTTATGAGCCTTTTTCCAACCCATGCTGGAATAATTCCTGTAAGTTTATTTTCCCCAAGGTCCAAGGAAATCAACTTTGTAGTGTTCTTCAAAATGGGAGGAAATATTCCAGATAGTGAGTTGTTATGGATGTTCAAAGAGTCTAGCTTAGCTAAGGAACCCATGGATGGGGGCAAGTACCCAACAAAACGATTTCTTTGTAAATTCACGTCCATGAGATCTGGCCATATTATCCAACAATTAGGTATTTCCCCTGATAAATTATTTGCTCCAAGATTGAAAAATTCTAAAAGCATTGGCTCATCTTGTTTTTGACATAATAAATCAGTCAGGGATCCAGAGAATGAATTGCTTGAAAGATCTAACCAAATAACACCATGAGATAGATGGGGTAATTTCCCGTGCAAGTGATTTGAGCTTAGATCAATGATTTCAGTAGATATCGGATACTTTAATGTATTAGCAAGCTCACTGTGGATATGATTATGAGATAGGTTTACATAAACAGAAGCATGAGAAACTGTTTCCCAAAACCATGTGGGGATAGAATCTGAAATCCCTGTGTTGGACATATCCAAAATGCGAAGATCCTTTTGTGACTGAATCCATGAAGGAAAGTTGGAACCTAACTGCCACGACCTCGTTCTCAATTCAATAACTTGAAAAGTAGGATGCCAATTGGGACCAACTTTTAAAGTCAAATTGTTCCCTGATGCACAAAATTCTGTTAAACTCGAAAGATTTGCAAGGTCATCTTCCTTCACAACTCCTTGAAAAAGATTGTCATCAATATTAAGATATGACAATTTAGATAAGGATTTAAGAACTTCAAATGGGTTTCCATGAAATTGATTTTTTGACAGATCAAGATTTCTTAATGATGAAAGTTTTGCAAATGATGTAGGAAGTGCACCACGAATTGAGTTGTTGGAAAAGTCCATTGTGAAAATATTTTGAAATACTCCAATTTGATCTGTCAAATTGCCTGAAAGTTGAGAACCAAAAGCTTCTAGTTGGGCGAGTCCTTGTGAAACACATGGAGCGAGAATATCTAAAATTTCATTAACCCGTTGGTTGAGTTTGAGAAATGAGAAATCTATCTCCCTTAAGTTGCAAAGATTTCCCAAAGAAGATGGAATTTTTCCTTCAAGTTGATTATGTGACAAATCAAGTCTAACAAGAGAAGTCAAATTTCCCAAAGAAGATGGAATTTTTCCTTCAAGTTGATTTACTGAAAAATAAAGTCCAACAAGAGAAGTCAAATTTCCCAAAGAAGATGGAATTTTTCCATCAAGTTGATTTTGTGAAAAATCAAGTTCAACAAGAGAAGTCAGATATCCAAAAGAAGTTGGAATTCTTCCTTCAAGTTGATTTAGTGAAAAATCAAGTCCAACAAGAGAAGTCAAATGTTGTCCCAAAGAAGTTGGAATTCTTCCTTCAAGTTGATTACCTGACAAATCGAGTCCAACAAGGGAAGTCAAATTTCCCAGGTCATCAGAAATAGTCCCATGCAAGTTGTTCCATCCTAGGTCCAAGAACTTGAGATGATGAAGACTGTATAACCAATCAGGTATAGAGAATGAATTTTCAGACAAGTCGAGATTTTCAAGTAATGTGAGGTTTTGAATACCATCAGGAATTGAAACTTGAATGTTATTTCCTCTTAGATTAAGAGAAACAATTTTCCTCAGTTCAAATATCCACTTTGGGACAAAAGAATTTGTATCTGAAAGATCAAGAGTGATGAGAGATGAGAAATTTACTGTTGATGGCTGTTTATAATAATTGAGCGTACATGCTGGCAAGCGTAACTCCATCAAAGAAGGAAGAGCTTGCAGAGTCTGTAACCAATTAAATGACTTTAATAGATTTGCATAGAGGAATCTGTCCACTGAATCCAGCATCTGAGAGGTCAAGGTAAGTTAAATTGGCCATTGCACCAAGGAAACTAGGAATTTGCATACCTTCAAAATAATTGCCACTCAAGTCCAAGTAATTCAAATGCTTCAAATCAACCAAAGAAGGATTTACCTCACCACTAAACCTCGACCTCTCATAAGCATCATGAAAATCAGGATACAAGTAATAATCAGGTACTGAAGTGTTGAGGTGAAGCTGAAGAATGTGGGCAGTTAGGTTGTTACTGCAAACAACTCCTTCCCAATGGCAGCAATTGGGATTGGAAGCATTCCAAGAAGAGAGTCTATTTGAAGGATCTTGGAGATGATGTTTGAACCTCAGAAGCGCATCACGTTCACTTGGAATGCAGAGAATCTCAGAGGAGCCTATGCAAATGCCAAAATGAAACGTAAATAAGGCAAGGCAAAAAAAGTGAACACAGAGAACAGTAAAGATGGAATGGTCCATGACTATTGCAGGCATACCAAACAATTTGTATTAGTGATTGTTGTTTCTTCTGATAAAACTGCTGTATTTATATTGGCGCCGTGCACTCTTTAGTGGCTAGTTCCCACTTGCTGATTTCCTATATTAAATTGCTTGCTCTTATATTGGCACTCTACCTAATTGCCATTTTCTGTTAGTTTAATAGTAATCGGTCCTCTTTGTCTAACTTTAACTTTATTTAGGGGTGAAAGAAGAAAGGTTTAATTGTAAAAGGGTTTTACTAATCGGAAAAAGTGTTTGTCATTTTAAATGACAAAAAGTTATGTCATTTTAAGAGGGATACAGACACAGAAAATTTGAATTTTAAATTAAAAAAAATCATCCACTTTTTCTCTCCCGTGATTTTCGTTTTTCTGTGTCTATCTCTCTCTTAAAATGACATAACTCCAAACCCTTTACTAATATGTAATAATTTTATGGTTTTGATAACACGTGCGACAGGTGCTGAAGAATCAAAATAATATTTATTTTACAATTTTTTTTTGGATAACATATTTATTTTACATTCTAATTATCTACAGAATAGAGCAATAAATATTTTTTATATTATTAAGATATTTTATGTTTCTAAGTGAGCTTGTCTTGGAATTGAATAAATAAGGGTGTAATTTACAATTAAAATTTAGTAGAACATTGAGATGACGATACATTTTAAAGTAAATCCGTAGCAGATGTACTTTTATTCGTTCATTTTAATAGCGAACTGAATTTAGACAAATATTTTCCTTTTAAACTTATGTTCTAAAAAAAAGTTAATATAACCTTTGATTTTAAAATTATAAAAATACATTTGGAAAGTTTTAAAATGTACATAAGTCCTACGCATTAACTGCACCTAGTGTATAATATGATTTATTGTAATTTTAGAGATAAATATAACTACTTATTTTTTATCATTTTTTTTTTTCTAAAATTCAACTTAGTCCCTTTATAAGAATACTTTTTGAAAGGGTTACTATAATCTCCAAAAAATGCAAATAGTCCATATGTTCTCAAAGAATGCCTTATTATGATTTTCAAAGAGTGCGACTTCAGGGTTAAATGAACAATTCGACAAAATAAAATATAAACTTTTCCATACAAAAAAAATATAAATTTTTAATAATATTCAATATAATATTGAAATTAACTTCAACTACGTAAATTTTATTTTATCTAAAACTTTTATCTAAATATTTTTTTATTTATTTCTTAAGTCAATTCTTTCGCGGGCGTGCGTGTGTGTGTCTATATATATATATGGAAAAATATTTTTCAAACAGCTTGAGATAAGTTTATCTCTGAACACTCCAAAAGTACGTCCTTATATTAATTGATTCACCTTTGAATAGTTATGATTTCATTTTTCTCTCTCTTCCTTTATTACCATTGATCCATCTTTGTACGATTATGATTTATCAGCCGGAGATAAAATTATCTCAAGCAGCTTGAGATAAGTTTATCTCCGATTACCCCAAAATTACATCCTTATATTAATTGATTCACCGTTGAATAGTTATGATTCCATTTTTCTCTCTCTTCCTTTATTACCATTGATCCATCTTTGTACGATTATGATTTATCAGTCGGAGATAAAATTATCTCAAACAGCTTCAGAAACAATAAGTCCATATATATATATATATATATATATATATATATATATGAAAAAACATTTCTCAAGCTGCTTGAGATAAGTTTATCTCCGGCCACTCCAAAACTACGTCGTTTTGATTATTTATTTTCTTATATTTATTGATTCACCTTTGAATGGTTATGATTCCTTTATTTCTTTCTCTTCCTTAATCATCATTGATCCATCTTTGTACGGTTATAATTTAGTAGCCGGAGATAAAGTTATCTCAGGCAGCTATATATATATATATATATATATATATATATATATATATATATATATACGGTTATAATTTAGTAGCCGGAGATAAAGTTATCTCAGGCAGCTTGAGAAATGTTAAGCCCTATATATATATATATATATATATATATATATATATATATATATATATATATATATATATATATATATATATATATATATATGAGGTAGGATCCTTTGATATCGGTGTCAAATTTTAAGTTTGACACCTCATTTGAGAGCAGTTAGATCAAAAAAGATCAATGGTGTCAGATGCTTACAAATCAAAGTCGTTGATCTTTTTTGATCTAACGACTCTCAGATGAGGTGTCAAACTTGAAATTTGACACCTCATCTGAGAGCCCTTAGATAAAAAAATATCAATGGTGTCACATGCTTACAAATCAGAGTCATTGATCTTTCTTGATCTAAGGACTCTCAGATGAGGTGTCAAACTTCAAATTTGACACCGGTGTCAAAAGATCCTGCCTCATATATATAGATATATATATATATAAATATATATATATATATATATTTATATATATATTTATATATATATATATCTATATATTTATATGTGGGAATATTATATTTATAAATTTTTATTTATAAACTCTTGCAAATCATATGATGTCTTACTGGTACGAGACTCTTGAGCGAAGTCTTACCGGAAAGACATAGTATAGTTTGTAAAAAAAAAGTTTGTCAATATTAGTGGTGTTCGCGGTCTGATTGGATCGATTTTGGAAGAAAAAATTATTCGATCTAATCCCTTCGGTTTGATAATGTAATCATCCATTCGGTTTGGTTTTTTTTTCAAATTCGATCCTATCTAATCCAATTTTTTCGGTTTGGATTTGATTGGTTTTTGACTATTCGAAAAACTTAAAATTTGATTCATAATTATTGTGAAAACAATATATCTTTTGTATATATTGGTTGTAAAGTTTTTTTAAAAAAAAATAATACACAAGCATCAGTAAATTATAATATAATTTTTTTTTGGTGCAGTAAGATATGAAGCTCTACACAGATAAAATTTACCGATTGAATATGACTAGATTTTTGCTTGGGTTTAGTTGATGAGTTAATGGGTCTTGAATTTAGAATTTTTTGGGCTATGATTAAGGATATGCTCAAGTAAGTATATGGGAATTAATATATTAGATCGATTTGGATTGAATCGGTTTTCATTAACCAAACCAAAAATCGATCCAATTCAATCAAAATTTGTGATTTTTTTTTTCGGTTTTCAGTTTTTCTATTATCGGTTTATTCGGTTATCAAATTTTTGGTTCGGTCACCGCGGTTTGAATCGATATGAACACCCCTAGTCAATATAATCCTCATATATATATATATATATATATATATATATATATATATATATATATATATATATATATATATATATAGGTAGGATCCTTTGACACCAGCGTCAAATTTAAAGTTTGACACCTCATCTAAGAGCCGTTACAATCAAAAAATATCAACGACTTTGATTTGTATACATGTGACACCATTGATCTTTTTTTATCTAATGGCTCTCAGATGAGGTGTCAAACTTTAAATTTGACGCCGGTGCCAAATGATCCTACCTCATATATATATATATGGGTCAGGATCATTTTACACCTATGTAAGTTACACTCTCAATCTTGTCTGTTGATCCCACTTATATCTAAGGGTTCAAATATCTAACGGCTCTCAGATGAGGTGTCAAACTTTAAATTTGACACCGGTGACAAAGGATCCTACCTCATATATATATATATATATATATATATATATATATATATATATATATATATATATATATATATATATATATATATATGGGTCAGGATCATTTTACACCAATGTAAGTTACACTCTAAATCTTGTCCGTTGATCCCACTTATATTTAAGGGTTCAAATTTTTTAATAACGTGAGCCATTGAATACAAGTGGATCAATGGTCAAAGATTGAGTGTAAGATTTTTAACTCTTACACCGGTGTAAGAATATCCTATATATATATGAGGTAGGATCCTTTGACACCAGTGTCAAGTTTCAAATTTGACACCTCATCTAAGAGCCATTAGATCAAAAAAGATCAATGGTGTCACATGCTTACATATCAGAGTCGTTGATCTTTTTCGATCTAACAGCTATCAGATGAGGTGTCAAATTTAAAACTTGTCAAAGGATTCTACCTCTCTATATATATATTACTATTATTACTTGACTATCTTTTTTACCAACATTTATTTTAAGAAAATTGTTTTCTTTTTTAATTTCATTATTCTTTGATTTTATTTTAAATAATAATACAAATTAATTTTATATATAATTATTTTAAGTTTTTTATTTTATATATTATCATTTTAACTTTTTTTAATTCTCAAGGAAGTTTTATTATATAGTATCAATACTATTTGAAAAAAAATTATATTATTTTTGTTATCCTAATACAGTTTGTTTCTTTAATTTCTGCATTAATGTAATTTGTTACTTTAATTAAAATTCAACAGAATATTGATTATACAATTTCACCTTTAATTCTTATCTTTTAAATATTAGCATGCATTTAATGATATTATCAATTGTTTCTCAAAAAAATTGCAAAGTAAATATAACTATTTAAATAATTGTTAATAGGTAGCAATATTTATTGCATATCAAGATATTTTTGGATAAAATTATTGATATTCTTGTGTTATATACAATATTTAGAATTGGATTGTGATGATTAATATCACATGAAACTCATTAAATGATGTACAAATTGACAATAACATCATTCGCAAGTGTAAGGTGTATTGAAATTAAAGTAAAATTTAATTTTCATGTGATTTAATGTAAATAGAAGTAAAAATTGTCGTAAATTATTTTTTTTTTACCAGAATAGTTCATCAAAAATAAATTATTAGATAAAATGTAAGTTTAAACTTATTGAACCACGATAAAACTTAATTTTTTTTAAAGAAACAAACTAAAGGAAAATTCTTTATTTTTTCCTTTTTGGTAGTATTTCTCTAT